AATCATGGGCATACTCACATTGAATGTTTTACAAATGTTGATTGGGCTGGTTCTAAAATTGATAAAAGGTCTACTACGGGTTATTGTGTTTTTGTTGGTAGGAATCTTGTATCATGAAAAAGTAAGAAACAAATAGTTGTATCTTGATCAAGCGCAGAGTCTGAATATAGAGGTATGACTCAGTTCACATGCGAAATTTTATGGATACATCATCTTTTAGATGAATTGGATTTGAAGCCCACATCTCTTGCAAAACTCTGGTGCGATAATCAGACTGCCATTTATATTGCCTCAAATTCTGTGTATCATGAGAGAGTCAAACATATTGAAGTTGATTGTCACTTCATTCGAAAGAAAATTTAAGAAAACTTTATATTTATTACTTATGTGAAAACATGATAACAAATTGGTAATATATTTACAAAACCTTTAAATGGAACATAGATTGAGTATCTTCAGAATAAGCTGAGCATGATTAATATTTATGCTCTAGCCTGAGGGGGAGTGCTAGAATATTATAGAATATTCTATGTATATAATAATATGATTATATTTCCAAATATATTAGTATGATTAGGAAGAAAGTTAATAGGGTAATTTATATTGGTTACCATATATGAATCCATCTATATGTATATCCCTATTGTCTATTCAATAAATAATAAGAATATTATTCAGTTTTTTTCCTTCCCTAACTCTTAACAAAGAATACACAGTCCAATCTTCATATATTATTGGTTTTGATAGTTTCAGGCAAGATTGCTAGGAAGTTGGAAAATATTCAATACCATTTTCTCTGTGGAGATGAGGAAGGCAATAGAATATTTCATCTGATGAAGTGGGATAATGTGAAGAAGTCACAACACAATGGGGGGCTTGGGTTGAGATCGATTTTTGAGATGAATACTGCTTTCATGAAGTGGCTGTGGAGATATTCGAGAGAGGATGGGAGATTGTGGAAGAGGATTGTGGAGGCTTTTTGAGGTAAGGGGTGTTTGGTTGGGGAAGTAAGGGATGTGTATAGACCACATGACATGAGTTTATGGAAGAAAATTAGCATGGGGAGTAAAAACTTTCTTGAATGCACTAAATGGAAAGTGGGGAAGGGTGCGGATGAATGGGCTGGTGATGCTAGGTTAAAAGACCATTTCCTGAATATATTTGCTATTGCAATTTCAAGAAATATGATAGTGGAGGAGGCTTACTTAGTGATGAGTGGGATATAGGAGTGGTTCGTGATTATCACAGTAAATTTCAATGATTGGGAAGTTGAGGAATATGAAACATTACTCCTCATGCTATCACAGGTTCAGTTAGAGAGTCGTAATGACCAGCTGATGTGGAAATTGAGAAATCAAAGGGACTTCTCTGTTAAGACATTTTACAAGCATTTGACTAGGAGGGAAGGGAATGACTATGATCCCTTTATGGCAAAACGGATATGGAAAACAAAGGCTCACCCAAGAGTAGTTTTTTTTGCTTGGGAGACAAATAAGAATTTTATATTGATGGTCGATAAGTTGATGCGGAGAGGTAAAATTGTGGTTAATCGGTGTTACTTGTGTAAAAGGGATGCGTAATCCTTTGATCACATTCTACTGTAGTGCCTGGTGGTTTATAACATACGGATTATGGTATATAGTCTCCTGGGGATCAATTGGCTAATTGCGGGATCAGTGAGGGATGAGTTATGGGTTTAGACGAGTTTATGTAGAAACAAAACCTATTTGCTCTTAGTTCCTCTATCTATTTTTTGAGTTGTTTGGAAGGATAAGAATGCTAGAGTTTTTGTGGGTGTTGAAAGAGAGATGGCTAGTATAAGGGATAGATGGTTTCATGTTTTTGGTTCTATGGTATTGAGTCATGACATGAATAGGTTGGAAAATTGTGGACATGTCATTGATCATTTAATTGAATTGTAAATATTTTTGTATATGGGTAGTTACCCCTTCTGGTACTTTTTTGAATAATACTTCTTTATACTTTTATTTCAAAAGACAGTTTTATTCCAAGTCTTGTATCAGAGGTCTCCCACTGATAATTTTTAAGATGTTTTTTTTTGCTATTTTAGGTCAGTGACAGACTTCAAGGTTTGACAGAAGAAATATTGAAAATTGGAAATGACAATTTTCCTGCTGATCTGAAAAAGAATCCCGATGATTCTGTTGAACTATTGTCTCCTGAAGATGGTAACAGTAATATATCAGCTGATAAAGTGAGAAAGGAAAGGGAACTTGAGGACTATCCACATCCTCTTGCTGTTGTAGGCGTTAGTGTTCTGTAAGTTATCTCAAAAAGCTTTACATATTTAAACACTCAATTTTTCATCCTGGTTCAGTATGAATTTGGAGACCTTGTTGCCTTATTCCTGTTCTCTTTCCTAACTTTCAAACATGTATTTATGTAACTATTACCATTGACAGCTGTGATTTCTTTTTGCTGTAATATAACTTATGATGAAAATATCGAACTCTTTTCCAAGTTGAACAAGTAGCTACGGTTTTTGATTAAGTTAATGCTTAACATAAGCAGACAACAGAGAATCTCAACCAACTGTTTTTTTCCCCCAATGCCATCCGAATCCCGTTCTTTATCAACCAAAATCTTGTAGAGTAGGGAACATGAAATAAATCAAGGCTAGTAGTTGGCTGGTTCGATATGAGTGGCTGAATGATGGTTTAAATCTAAAAAGACCAGAAGCATGCAAACCCGAATTTCTAGAAAAGAAAGACTTAGAATCCATGAGCTCATAATTTCATAGGTAAATCTTGAATTCATCTTACAATGTTTTTCTTCCATGATCCACAAGTTATTTGACACATAGCCTAATCCTAATTGGATGATACCGACCAAGAAGATCTATTTTGGAATACTAGCTAGCTTGTAAATACCAAGCAAATCCTCTAACCTAGTGATTAAGGAACCCATACTCGACGAGTATCTTATTAATGACTCTGCTCTGTCCACACATTCTCCAAGAACTATCTTATTGATGACTGTGGATTAAAAGTTGAAAAGAATTTCAAAGAGGTAAGTCAACTTTCCCATAAATTTGAAATTCCTATTAGGCACTGTGTTAGAAGATAAACCATTTAGCTTAACAACCACCTAAGGAACATCTTAGCAACATGAGTTGCAAACTTATTCAGGACTACAAAGCAGAATGATGGCCAATTGTCCTAGGTAACTCTAGGATAAAGTCCATACTTAAATCTCGAGGGTAAACAACCCTTTTGGAAGAGCACTTGAGGTCGTAAGGAAAAACATTTCTTTAAATAGCATAAAGCTTATCTTACATAAGGGTAATAAAGAGTTGACATGATGATGCAAATGCTCAATCTAAGTTGTTATAGTTCAAGACATCATCGAAATAAACCCCAAGAAATTTTCCAATGAATGGCCCTAAGCGGTTGGGTGTCACCCTCATGGAAGTGTAAGAGCACTAGAAAGTCCAAAGGGCACGAACCATCACTTAATAAACCTTCTTGGGTCTTAAAGTCGATCTTCCATTTGATGCCTTGTGTATACCCTAATATGATGATACTGACTACAAATATCTATTTTGGCATACTAGGTAGCTTGTAAATGCAAAACAAGTCCTCTAGCCTAGTGACAAGGAACCCATACTTGACGACTATCTTATTAATGACTCTACTATCTCCACTCATTTTCCGAGAACCATCTTTTCTCCAGGTTAACAAAATATGAACTATGCTAGTGCTAAGACTATGACAAACAAACCCTTTTCCTACAAGCTTTTCCCCTTGCCTATTCAACTCTTCACTTTTTCATGATTCAATCTTTGATATGTGAGATTAGGCAATTGAAGCGCTAGAAAAGAAGGCTATCTCGGTGTTGTATGCCCCTTAAACCCAAAGCTTACACTCGGGTTTAAGAGTGATGCGGAATAGGAAGTTTCTAAAGTTGGAATATTTTAATAATAGGAGATGTGAGGCCAAACCAGTGAAGGAAAACCTTTTGGAAGTTAACTAAAAAGGATAGAAAGATTTAGTATCCTTTTCTATATTTTGGAAAATTTTACAATAAAGGGAAATAGGAGGATTTATTTTCTTATTTCTTAGATTTCCTATTTTCTTAATTTCTTCTATTTAATTATTTTCCTATTTCCTAGATTTCTATTTTCCTAGTTCTTTCTATTTAATTTCTTTTCCTATTTCCTAGATTTTCTATCCTAATTCTTTTTATTTATTTTATTTTCCTATTTACTAGGTTTTCTAGATTTTCTACTTTTAATGTACTCTAGTGCCTATAAATAAGGTCTCCTAGTTTAGTTATTAAGTAGACAATTGATGATTATTGTTCAAATATTGATATATTGCTTTGGTTATCGAGATCCAAGATCTCCAAGTTTGATTCTCAATAAATTTTGTCGAGTTTTTGTTTTAAACTTTCTTTATCTACATCAAAGAGAGTTTCAAGAAATTCTTTTGAGATTGATGCAACAAAACACTCTCCCTATATGTTTGGAGGCTGAGGGAATCCAATGGGGCCTTATTCCTTTTCGATTGGAGAATATATGGCTGAGGAATGAGGAGTTCCGATTACTGATTGAAGAATGTTGGAGGAATTGTGGGTTTTAGGGTTGTACCAGTTACAGATTTGCCTGCAAACTCAAAGCCCTGAAGAATGCCATTAAAAGCTGGACTAAAGAGGAGAGAATGAAAGAGAAATGCAAGTTTGAGACTGTTATGTTTGAGATTTGCTCTTTGGATTCTAAAGAGGATGAATTTGGTCTCGATGAGGATGAAAGAAACGAACAGGGCATCCTGAAACTACAGCTGACTTCTCTTTTAAAGGATGAAGAATTGTTGTGGAAACAGAAATCTAGAGAAAAATGGTTGGAAGGGAGGGGCAAAAACACAAAGTATTTTCATGCTTTAGCCTCCTACCATCGCATAATTAATTATATTGAGGAAATTCTGGTGGACAATATGAAAATTTCAGGGAATTCAGAATTGAGAGATGCTGTTAGGAGGCACTTTGAGAACCTGTACAAGGAAGATCATACCTTTAGACCCAAATTGGATGGTATTCCTTTTTGCAGAATATTTGATGTGTGCAGAAAATCACTGGAAGAAGAATTCACTGCTGAAGAGGTCTTAAATGGTTTAAAATCTTGTGATGGCAATAAAGTTCCGGGTCCTGATGGTTTTTGTTTGAATTTTTTACTGAGTTTCTGGTCCCTACTACAGGAGGATATCATGGCTGTTTTGAAGGAGTTGCACTCCAATGGTAAATTTGTTAAATCCTTAAACACCACTTTTGTTATTCTTATCCCCAAGAAGAGTGGTGCAAGTGAATTTAAGGATTTTAGACCTATTAGTTTGATTGGGTGTATGTATAAGCTTATTGTTAAGGTGCTGGCTAGAAGACTTGTTAAGGTGATGGGGGTGATTATTGGCAATTGTCAACATGTTTTTATGGGTGGTAGATTCTTGATGCTATAATGGCTACTACCAAAACAGTTGACGACCTTATGAATAATCAAAAAGATGAGTTGGTTTGTAAACTTGATATGAAAAAAGCCTGTGATCACGTTAACTAGAATTTTGTCGATTATATGCTTTTTAGGATGGGTTTTGGTTTGAAGTGGAGAACATGGATGAAGACTTGTATCTCTACCACTTCTTTTGCCGTTTTTGTGAATGGAGGCCCGTCAACATTTTTTAATGTGTCTAGAGGATTAGGACAAGGCGATCTTTTATCTCCTCTACTCTTCATTATAGTTATGGAGGCTCTAAATGGTCTTTTGGGCGGGGCAAGGGAGCTGCATTTGATCAAAGGTGTTTCGGTTGGAAAAAAAGAGAACATCATTGAAGTATCCCACTTATTCTTTGCTGATGACATCCTGATTTTCTGTCAACCCAAAATAAGGAATCTATTACATCTGAAATGCAATGTAATACTTTGTATTTCCATGCTGTTTCTGGGTTCAAAATAAACCTATTTAAATATGAAATGGATAGAATTGGTGTCAGCAGGGATGCTGGGCTGTTTGCTAGTGTTTTGGGGTGTAAGGAGGTAAAATTCCCTTTCAAAAATCTTGGACTTCTGTTGAGTGCTAAATACAAAGATCACATGTCTTGGGATCCGGTGATTGAATTGTTTGAAAGAAAACTTGCAGGGTGGAAGAGAAACTTCCTCTCTAAAGGCGGGAGATATACTTTAATCAAGAGCACTTTATCCAATCTCCCAATTTATTATCTATCAACAATTACTATCCCCTCCAAGGTGGCGAAAAGATTGGAAGCAATATAAAGTAGATTCCTTTGGGGTGATGGTGATGCCGAACGGAAATACCACCTTGTAAAATGGGATATTATCAAAGAGCCTCCCGAAATCGGGGGGTTGGAAATTCGATCCTTGAGTGTTATGTACAATGTTTTACATGGTAAGTGGTTGTGGAGATACTTGAAAGAAGAAAACAGTTTGTGGAAGAGAATCGTGCATTCGAGATGGGTAATTTCATGATGAGCAAGGCTGACTGTAGAATTACTATTCCTCATGGGAGAGGTCTGTGGAGGAAAATTATGATGCAATGGACTAACTTCCAGCAATGTTTTTCATGGAAACTGGGCCGAAGCAACAAGATATACTTCTGGGATGATGATTGGTGCGGAGTGGGTAGTCTTAGAAGTAGATTTCCCAGTATTTTCAGCATTGTTCAATCCAAAAATTTGCGTGTGGAGAATGCTGTCCAGATTTTGAATGAAAGAGCAGTGTGGGATATCAAAGTTTCTTGGAATTTGAATGATTGAGAGGTGAGTGAGTTTGAAGAATTAATGCAGATTCTTGAAAAACAGAAGGTATCTCTATGTTAGGACCAAATCTGGTGGAAATTTGGCAATAATGGATATTTTTCTGTCCAGTCATACTACAAATTTCTGTGCAGAAAGAATGGTGAGGGTAGGGTTAATTTCCCGGCAAAACAAATCTGGAAAACAAAAGCTCCCCCCTGTATTGCTTTCTTTGCTTGGGAAGCTTGCTGGGAATGAATTTTGACAATTGATAAACTGAAAATTAGAGGAAGGATTCTGGTTAATGGCTGCATCTGTTGTCTTCAAGCTGAGGGAACTTGCAATTATCTACTTTTGTGGTGTCCGACTATGCACAGGTTGTGGTGTATGATTTATGGAATATTGGGGATTGAGTGGGTAATTTTTGGATCTGTTAGAGAGAAAAATTGGGTTTGGGATGGGCTGTTTGTAGAAAATAAAATTGCAAACTTGATTCCATTGACTGTTTTTTGGGTCATATGG